CGGCAGTTTGATTAGAGAGACGGGAGAGGAGATGAGAGAATGGAGGGAGAAAAATTGATTTTAGGGTTTAGGTGGGTTAGATTGTGTTGGGGTGTGTATATAAATTAATTTGTAATATAAAATTATTATCTGATTTTTGAATAATTAAACTTTCCACCTTATTTTTGAAAATCAATCTTTAAACAACTTGTTTTTTCCCAATAGAAAATGGCATCAATCAAGGAATGAGCCCAATCGGGTACTTCGAAAATTTCGGCAAAAAAGGAGATGTCATTTAAAAAATATTTGTAATAGTTATTTCTTCTCCTGCTGAATTGTCCAAACTCCAAAACTCTGTTTATTTTCTTATTGCCCCTGTAACTTTTTGATTTTTCTATTTCCATTATGGCTACTATATTTTCTTATAAGTGCATTACATTTTTAATTGCATAAAAAGTTCATTAATTTTAGTAACTGTCACACTTGCTTCCTCAACTTTTTAGCATCACATTCTTATTTTCATTTTTTCTTTAACTAGCACATCTTGTCCCTGATGATAATTCATGTCCAAAAAATTCATTAAGAGGGAGTAAAAAGAATTACTTAGCCTTCGTATTTTTAAATATGCAGAAAAAAATTAATAAATACAAAACTTCAACTGAATATTTATCACAGATTTTTCGGACAAATTGTCATAGAGGAAAATATTCGCCAGTTGATTAAAGGTTAAGTAAGAATGTGATGAAAAGTTAGGAACATAAGTATAACAACGAATAAAAATTAATGATCTCTAATACAGCTAAAATGCGGTATATTTAAATACGCATATATATAATTACCATTTGGACAATTCCATTTGTATCCAATTTTTTGTACTGAAAATGGTACACCCTCTCACATGCGTGCAAGACCCGCATAAATAAAAAATTCTCAAATGTGTGGTCTCCACACCTTATTATGAGCGTAGGTACAAGATCAGGTAAAAAAGTGAATGTACGTGTAACATTGTCCTTACCATTTAAGTTTGTTGCTGAAAACAAGGCTAGGTCAACGAATTCAGGCTCTATATTGACATTATGGCATAGTTATTTTAGAATTCTGCCCTACATTTTTCAAAAAATGAAAAGAATTTTCTTTTTNTTGCACGTGCGTCTAACTAGTATTTTCTTATAAGTGCATTACATTTTTAATTGCATAAAAAGTTCATTAATTTTAGTAACTGTCACACTTGCGTCCTCAACTTTTTAGCATCATATTCTTATTTTCATTTTTTCTTTAACTAGCACATCTTGTCCCTGATGATAATTTATGTCCAAAAAATTCATTAAGAGGGAGCAAAAAGAATTACTTAGCCTTCGTATTTTTAAATATGCAGAAAAAAATTAATAAATACAAAACTTCAACTGAATATTTGTCACAGATTTTTCGGACAAATTGTCATAGAGGAAAATATTCGCCAGTTGATTAAAGGTTAAGTAAGAATGTGATGAAAAGTTAGGAACACAAGTATAACAACGAATAAAAATTAATGATCTCTAATACAGCTAAAATGTGGTATATTTAAATACACATATATATAATTACCATTTGGACAATTCCATTTGTATCCAATTTTTTGTACTGAAAATGGTACACCCTCTCACATGCGTGCAAGACTCGCATAAATAAAAAATTCTCAAATGTGTGATCTCCACACCTTATTGTGAGCGTAGGTACAAGATCAGGTAAAAAAGTGAATGTATATGTAGCATTGTCCTTACCATTTAAGTTCGTTGCTGAAGAGAAGGCACGGTGAACGAATTCAGGCTCTATATTGACATTATGGCATAGTTATTTTAGAATTCTGCCCTACATTTTTTAAAAAATGAAAAGAATTTTCTTTTT